CTCGTTCTCTTACTGGCATCCATCTTCTTCGTACCACACTTAATTTTGATGCTGGTATTTTGTTGTGTCCCGCGCGTTTCGCAGGGCCCCGGCTTCCTTCCCACCCGCGCCCCCGCCCCCCGCGACGAACCAGCGCGAGCGCGCATCGACCTCGCCCCACCTCCTCCAACTCCACGCACACAACGCACGCACCCAATCGGCAATTCATCCGCACACGTCACACAAGAAACGCAACACAAACATCCCAGAGAATCTCGTGCACCGACACACCTCACACTCCTCCGCGCCCCTCCTTCGCACAGCCAGGAAGGCGCAGCACGCGCGGCGACGGCCCAACATATCGGATGGAAAACGGCTGGCGCAGACCCGGCCCAAGCGAGAATTCGCCGCGCCACATTCGTAAAGATCGCCTGGCGCAGCTCGTGGAGGCCGAACGGCGCGGATAGAAGAGTCTCGAACAATTTGGCATCTCGGGCGCCCGCATCTCAAGACCACGACTGGCCTGCTTTCAACCACCGGCCCCTTCGGTTCACAACGAAGTTAAAATCCCCGAACATCACTGTCAGAGCCTGCAATTGGGGGGCCATGCGCCGCGCGATCGAGGCCATCGCGGCGCGTCGAGCTGCCCGGATGTCCAGACCAGAGCCCGACGTCAAATACACTACAATGATGTCCAGTGCGCCCGAAGGTCTGCGCAGGGATAGCTCGGCGGCCACCCGGCCCCCACCTGCACCCGCTCCGCCGGCTGCACAGGGTTGAATTTCATCGGGAAGCCGCCCTTCACGAAGAGCCCCACCCCAGCATGCGAGCGCGCGCCGCGCGACCAGACTTAGCGGCAACCAGCAGGCGAGCGAGCGCCGAGCTCGGTTCCGACAATAGAATGCATCCCCGAAATGCCAACAAAGTCCGCCTTGTCGACAGTGTCCTTGGCGCGCGTTTGATCGTCGCCCTGCAACGATGCATCTGAAACGAAGTAAGCTCGAGAATTCCAAAATCCAAACATAGTCCCCAAAGTACGGCCCAAACGCGGGAGGCAATTCACGGCGCACGGATGCACTGGGCAACTGTTATGGTGCTGGGGCTGCCAGCTGCCAACTCCTGTTGATCAGGATGCACAACGGCGACAGCTACCAATGGCGCTGCTGTGCCCCGTCGCGCCGCGCTGGGGTCTGTCGTGCTGCTGGACGCGCTGCTGTCGCCAATGGCATGGCTGTCCCGCAGTGCTACATCATGACGCGCCGCTGGATGTGCCAATGCTGCTGCTGCCACTGGTACTGCTGGCCCCCGTCGTGAGTAAATATGAGGTGTCGCTACATGTGGCGCTAGGTCCCATCGTGGACTCCGGTGAAATGCCGTTGGGCGCGCAGCTTCTGCTGCGACCGCACTGCAGACTCCAGTCGCGCTGCAAACTCAGGCGCTACGGGCTTTGCCGATGCTGCCGCCGATGGCGCCGCCAGGATCACTGATGCTGGCGCCGGCGGGGTTGCCATTTCCAGTCGCGCTGGCAAGTGTGATGCGAATGAACGCAGCGCGTCTGCTGTCATTGAAGCTGTCGGCTCGCCTCGCGCGGGAGGCGATGCCCTTCCTGGATGAGATGGCGCTGTTGTCAGCGGCGCTGCCGGGCGCCGTCGCAGCGGGGGCTGCGACGCTGGCGCTGCAGCCAAGCGCACGGGCGCCTGCCGTCGCCCAGCGCGCAGTGCTGCCCCTGCATGCGCTGCCGCACCACTCGCTCGCCCTGCCGGTTCTCGTCGCGCCGGGCCGCGCGGCGTCGCTGAGCGCGCCCGCGATGCTGCCAAGGGCAACGCTGCCAGAGGAGCCGCTTGCCCCCGCGCACGCGAAGAGGTAGAAGCGGTAGAAGTGCGACGTCGGGCGTTCGATGTCGGAGCGACGGTGAAGGGCGAATCGAAATGGGCGTGCCAGATGGCGGAGGTCGATCACAACAAACATGAACTAGGAAAGAACTAATCTGCTCAGAGGCAGGGTCAAACCGCGCGGCCCTCCCTGACGCCGCGCCCCTGGCCGCCGCCGTCGAGGCCCCCGCGCCGGGGCGCGACGTCGAACGCCGCGTCGCGCCCGTTCACGCGGACCGAGGTGCTGTGGATTAGCCCGCGGAGTCACCATTCTTCTTCTGCGTTGGGCAGCTGCGCGACGACCTCGTGCACCCAGCGGCCCCCGGCATCAGAAGGCAGGCGCCACTCCCGCATTCCCAGCCCCAGCTCGTCGCCCGCCCGCTTGACTGGCGGGAGGCCTCGCGCAGCGGCCTTGCTCCAGATCGCCATCGGCCATTGATCCAGAGTGCCCGTCAGGCCCAGCTGCATGTGGATCGTCGCCTGGAAGGCCTGCGGCCTCCCAGGGTCACCCTCGACCTCGCCGTGACCATGCCGAGCCCTAGCTGCCTTGTCATGGGCCCCGGCGGCGGCAATCTCGGCGCGCGCCGAGGCGCCACCGCGCGAACGGCAGCAGCGAATGCGCCCCCACGTGCACGTCGCGTTGTTCGCCC